TAAGAACCAGAAAAAGTGTCTGCCATTAAGTTTTTCTATATAAAAAAATATATATTTTAAGATATCAAAACGGCAGACATGCTGGGATCACGTTTTTGAAAGTCGATTTTCATGCTTTTGGACGTCTCGGCACGCCTAAAGAAACCCTTTATGGGAATAGTGAACCACCATTTGATCTACGGCAGATGAATTAGTATAACTAGTATTAATATTAAGTTTGCTACTATACCGAAAGTCTGCAGATCACTGGCTCTTAGACTATTATGTTATTATGAAATCTTCAACGCTCTATTATGTACATTTCCATGAATTACCTATATTATTCCTAACCGAGATCAATTATGGTGTCCTATGGCATGTCATATATTACTCCAGTTATAAAAAATTACAAAAATTAAAAGGAAATAACCTAAACAAAAAAAAAGCGCTTTATGAAAGGCCACAACTTTACCGTTTGTGAATAAAATGCAATTCGTGTAGCGGTTTCTTTGACCGAATAAATAAGTTCATATCTCTTAATAAAGCCTTTTCCTCGCAGTCTTTTTGCTTAAAACAAAGAAATGTTAATAAAAGTGTATGTGTCTTACCCGTCTTCAAGTGTTAACAGCACAACAAGAAGTTACATCTTCTAAAAGTTCTTTGGTAAATAAAAGTATTACTTTATTATTTGCGCTGCCAAACAATGTTTACAACTGTTTTTGTAACAAAAACTTTTGCTCAGACGAAGGTATTTAGGTTGCTGGGATAGCAAATTTTTATTTATTGGTAGTTAATCGGCAATTACACTACCCAATTTTAAGGGCCCGATCGAAAGGGCGAGCGTGTCCTCTAGCTAGGGTAGCAATTATTACATAGCTCTATCAATGGCACCCTAACTCAGTCTAAAAGTAAAAGTCGATTCGGTTGAACGTCGTCGTTATGGCACACGATGCATTCTGATTTTAATAAACTTCTCTAAATCCTTCGGTACTTTTCTCTTTATTTAAAAGGATTTATGTAAATGATCATCATTTTCGAAGTGAAACTTCTTTAGGCACGCTTGACTTGAGGGGTAAACTGGCGAATATGTTATGATTTTTGCGTACCGCGCGCACCGGTGACTCATCGTTAACAATGAGCAATACCCGTTACGAAATTGGATAACGGACTCGGCGCGAATTGGTGGGTGATAACGTACCCAGCGCGGATTGGTGGGTGATAACGGACCCAGCGCGGATTGGTGGGTGATAACAGACCCAGCGCGGATTGGAGGGTGACAATCGACCCAGTGCAGATTGGTGGGTGATAACGGACCCAGTGCGGACCGAGGCGGCCACTCGTCGGGGAGAGACTGCTATTGCGGTGTAGCTAGACATTTGCAATGCCTTTAACAGTCTTCCCCCCAAAATAATACCTGCCTTCATATTTGACAAAAAGTACAGTATACATCTACTGGATGACAACGATCCCAAGGTATCATACAAGGCTCTCATGATCTACACCGACAGCTCTAAAACCTCATCGGGCACAGGCGCGGGTGTTTTCTCTGAGGACCTCAATATACATATCGCTTTCCCCTTAAGCCCGTACAACACAGTTTTTAAGCTGAATGGCATCATACTGGCAGCAAGAGCGATCCTTTCAAGAAAGGTAACAGGACAGGAAATACTAATACTGTCCGAAAGCAAATCAGTCCTACAAGCTTTAGATGCCTGTTTAGTCAAATCGAGCCTCCTGCAAGAATGCCACCAAACCCTAAACACGGTAGGGTAAAGCAATTCTATTACTATCCAATGGATAAAGGGACACAGTGGATCACGCAGAAACGACGCTGCGGATGAGCTGGCCCGGAAGGGGTCCGATTCGACCCCAACAAGTCCCGAACCATTGGTCCTGATACCAGTAAGCTGTCTCGTAAATAAAATCTGCGAGCACACAGCCACATTACAACATGCGGCTACACACACTGGCTCGATCTGGAGACGTGCAGGCAGACCAAGCTCGCTTTGCCACGGGTGAACGCTGTCCTCTCCAAAACTCTTCTACAGCTAAGCAAACCTACAATACGCATGGTTACAGGTGCTATTACCGGACATGCACATTTTAACAGACATCTTTTTAACTTAGGTGTCACGGACAACCCTCTATGCAGAAGATGCATGGAGGCAGAAGAAACAGCTACTCACGTTGTGCTGGAAGCTGGGCTGGCTGGAGTGATTCCGGCTATACACTCTCCTAACGCAAAACAGGCTCCATAAGGACGTCGAGACGCAATGCACCGTGCCGGACAGCTACACTGGCATATATAAAGAGTTGACATGTGATCTTCACATACACGAGACCTAAGTGGAATATCCAAAGACTGATGTGATTGGCTGAGGCGGTCAAACCAGACAAAAAAGGGTCTGTTAAACCGTTATTAACTTAAATGGTATGTTTTAGACAACAATTCATACAAAAAAGCACGTAAGATTTAATGATATGAATTTACGATTATTCTATTTGTAAAAAATCATATCTTGTCTTCGATGTACTTTACAGATATATGCCCTTAATATTTTATTTTTACTTTTTTTAGTTCTATTCATTAAAAAAAAAGCATTCGTGGCCGCAGACTTTGAAAATCAAACCGGAAAAAGTGTCTGCCATTAAGTTTTTCTGTATAAAAAAATATATATTTTAAGGTATCAAAACGGCAGACATGCTGCAATCACGTTTTTGAACTTTTCGACTTTTCGAAACCTCTATGGGAATAGTGAACCACCATTTGATCTACGGCAGATGAATTAGTATAATTAGCATTAATATGAAGTTTGCTACTATACCGTAAGTCTGCGGATCACTGGCTCTCAGTCTAAATACTTTTGAGTATTTTGTTAATAGGCTATAAGATAAAACTTTCTATCTTTTCTTTATATTTTCCACCTGCTGTGCCTTGTAATAATAAATAAATATAATATAAACTCGTAAGTGAATGCCAATTTCGAACAAAGTTGTCTGCCTTAATAATCCCTTACCATCTTGAAGCCCTAGAATCACACTAATAAAAACACCACATCACCAAGAACCTAACCAATTGGTTACTTTCTCAGACGGGCGCTCCTTAATTAAATATACTTAGTCGAAAACCCACTATGATCTACTTTTCTTTCGCTTCTAGTCTAGCGTTTTTATTTTTTGGTAAGGCCGGGGAACGAACACCACAATGGAAGTCAAATACAAACTAAAAAAATAATGAAATAAATTTTAAAATAAATATACCTATCAATGACACCTATGAAGAAAAATCCGGATATTAAGTAACAAATTATGACAGACATTAAAGATCATTAATTATATGTATTTTAACACAAAATTTGACAAAGCCGCTCCATTCAAATATTCGGTAGGTCCTCAGAATAATAACTTTAGGTCAAATTAATATTTTTATCAATGAAAATTCTGTAGAAGCCGACCTCATTTAAATACTTTTTTTCTTTCTTAGAATGAAAAAGCCTAATCCGAAACGGTGCGATAATAATTTTTATCCTCGAGAGCAAAAGAAAAGAACCACTGTTAGTGGAACGCTAAAGAATTCAATCTTTTTGACTGCACTCTTTGTTATGTAGATGGTTGGAACTTTCGCAAGTAGATGGCGATGTAAGTACTTGTGTAAGCGACCGCTCCAAGTCGAGCGGTGAATCCGCTACGCTATATTATTTTAAGGCAATACGTCCATCATACTCATATTATAAGAGGCAAAGTTTTTCTGTTTAGGCGTTTCCCTTTTCGTGGGATAGCAGATATGAAACAAAAAAATACCTTGTATCTAATATGCTTGGAAATTTGAGCATTATTTTGACAACCTCCTTTGAGATAAATCATAATTGCTGTACTGGCCACACACGAGTACATGCGAGCAAAAGTTATATGAGAATCCATAACTGTCGTGTTTAACGGCCACATAAATAACATAGTTTGGTAACTCATATCGGTCGTGTAATTTAAAAATGGTATAATGTACTATATGTATAACCTAATGTATATATAACCTAACTCAACTTTAGTTCGTTTAATACATGTGCTGTATTCCTTTTTTTCACCGACCTCCAAAAATGGAGGAATTTCAAATTGGTTCCCAACTTATTGACCCTCGTTCGTAAGAAATGCGAAACTCTCCGCGCCATTTAACAATATTAATATTATAATTTTGAAAGTGTGTCTGTGGTCGGTCTATTACCTCTTTACGCTTAATTGCTGAACCAATTTATATAAAATTTGGTATAGATAAGCAGAAAGAAAAGAATAGTTTAAGTGGGAAAGGCCATAGGATAGTTTTTATCCTAGAAATCAACCGTTTAAGTAGTTAAAAGGTAGAAGTTTGTATGGGAAATCAATAGAACCACGCAGATGATGCCCCGAGCACCCGCTAGTATGATTGTGAATCTCATGGCCGTTAATTAAATTTAATGCTTGTCAAAGTGAAGCCTGGTGTACTCTTTTTTTTATTTGTAAAGAAAATGATAGAACCAACTTAAATAACTTTAAAATAAATACATATGTTGACCTAGTACCTAGAAAAACTTACATGTTGCATTTTAGTAGGTCGGTTCAGGTCTAAAAGTGTTGCATCTTAATAGCCTGTTCCAAAAGCCTTCAATAGTTTCTCAACTTGTTTTATTGCCGCTGGTATTTTTAAACTATTTCCACGAAAATTTGTCGTCTTGTGTCTCATATGATCTTGTTTCGCTCTCAGCTCTGCACCATGAATATTGCTGGCCTAGTAGGTTTTCTTCAATCCTCGTGAGAACAAAATGAATGAACCCATCATTTATACTCATAAGCAGCGAAATGAAATTTCCGTCTTCATACATTTTTCCACAAAAAACGAGTTGAGTTACAAGAAACGAGGTAAAACTTAAGTGAGACTTATTCTTTCTTTTGTCTCTAAACATAACCTGAAGTTATTTTTCGTTTTCTTATAGTGCCTTGTGCTGTGCTGCGTAGGATAAGGTTCGAAATAAATATGAAGAATGTCGGAAGTCATTCTAATGGCGTTAGGTTTACGAAAGGATCTAAACAATAACTGCTTAGGGAGCTTTCAAGATGTCATATAAAACTCGACAGCTCACGTTTAATCGCTGCGATATGATAGTACTTAATTACCAAGAACCACCGCTCATCCACCAGATTCGCGCCTGCGAAAGCAAACCGAATAATTCGCTTCCATTTTCAGTCAGTTGAGCGCTCGCCGCCACTAACACTGGTCTGCTCTAACCGTTTTCTCGGAAAGGATTGAGCAACTCGTACAACGAACGCGCGAAATTTAAATTCGGAATTAGATTTGACGTTTGTGTATTTGTTTTGGTTTTTATTTGGTTAATTTTTAATTACTTACGTGTTCTAATTTCAATTAACAGTACCTATATTAGAACTTTTTGGTGATAGTAACTAGCAGTTTTTTCTCTAAATTATGGTTTTTAGTGAATGTGTCACTTAGATAAAATGTTTTTTTGATACTTTACAATATTTTGTAGCTGTTGGTTCGTCGCATTCAGAGAGCTACCAGAAAAGGTAAGTTACTAATTTTATTTTACTCTCATTTTATAGTTTCTACGAGTGAAATTGTCAACATATATTACTTATTTATGTACTACTTTATTAATACATTAAACTTACTTACTGTAAATTAATTGGGTATACAACAAACTTATAAAATAAACTATTTATAGAGTTATAATTCCTTGATTGATTTTTTATTTATGCACTGGTGTTGATAAAGGAGGGTTTTATGCAAGTTTAGCCAAATTAACATTTTACTTATGGCTTAATTAACCCGGTACTTTACCTGGGCAACTGAATTGAGCTGTGTATTTATGTATTTTTTAAAGTGCTTTTACAAGAAAGTTAACTACGTAAGTAGACTTACAAAGCAAAATATTGTTAATTAGTCTTAGAATTACTTACCGGTATTTTTATGTCACAATTACTTGGTTTAGGCAGAGTTTTGTGTTAGGTATTAATGAATGACATATCTAGCATTTTAATGAACAGTTAACTACTCAGCATTTACGTCAAATCTGAATGACAAATTGATAACAACGAGTGGTCACTAATACTTAATCATTTCTAAAAGCAATTATGTAGGTAACTATTTGTATCATGTTAATATTATTTATAGCACTGGAAACTACTGTTGTGTAGTTGTATGGTTTATACCTAGAACAAGATAATTTATAATGTGTGTTTTTGTTCATAAAATAATAGGATAAGTACCTGTTAACGGTTAAAAGATTTAATTTTTAATAAGTATTTTTTTATTTTATTGTAAATTTAAATATAAAAGTAACAAATAAAATTAAAGTGTATCAACTCAGATTAATATTAAAAGTGTTATTCGGTTTGCAAACATAAATTTGTGTTGGAGATATTTTGTACTCTTGTATAGATTACATCACTCTTCGGCTAACAAGTTTCCTCATCTAATGAAAAACTGCGATGGTGAAATAGAAGATGTACTTACAGCATTTTGTTAGCGGAATGTTCCAAAAACCAACTGGGGACAAATATTAGGGGACAAATAGGGGACAATATTACAACATTTGCACCTGTAAACATTTCCGATTCTTATCAGATTATCGTTGACAAATCCTACATCGGATGTAGACAAACTCGGCTGGGACATGGTGCGATCAAAACTATGAAAGCTGATGTAATAAGTTAAGGGTATAATGGGACTGCCGTTCCGATGAAAACGACTTTAGGTCCCTAAACTAAGTAAATAAAGAAAAAAATAGAGTTATACATAAATGCTATATCATACAAAACATGCTTGCGTTTATAGTTAGGTGAAGTAAATCAAAAAGAAGTAATGTTGTTCGGAGCAGATGAGTAATTTATGTATATATATTTACATTGTTATGTTTATTGTTATTAAACAAAATCACATACCCGAGATAAGTAGCTAAAACATTTGTATTATGGAAGCACCGGGGCCTTCAGAGATAATGCTCCTGGGGGGCGGAAGGGCGAGGTTGTATTAAAAATCTCTTTCCTTACAAATTTGGAAACAATTTATTTCAAATTAATTTAAAAATAGGTGCAGCCATGATAACCTTACGGGAATGACCACACGACTAACAGGTCCTATTTCATACAGGTAAGTATAATATATATATGTTGTTATATATAATATCCTACTTCCTATCCTAACCTACTATTTAATATTATAAACGCGAAAGTTTGTATGGATGTATGGACATTTCGCAATATATTCTATTTACTTGGTCAAATTACCATTAGGCATCATTTTACTTCGTCGTGTTTTTTTTATCAAAAGATTTATTTGAGCAAATTATATTCCAAAAACTTTTAGTTTACACACTCAAGTTATAGCGTTAGTCAGAAAAGTAGGTTTGGGTAGAATAGTGATCCCAACAGCGAGCGAGCTGAGCGAGCAAAGCGAACGTGCGAACGCAGAAACTAACATTTTTGAGAAGTCTATGTTTTGCCCAACGATATATTTGATTGAATGATATTTGGTAAAAGGAAACACGATCGAATAATTATTTGTTAAACAATAACTTGCCAAAAAAGTTTTGGTTACTGAAAAATTGCGATTATTTGTTCTGAGAAATGTTTATGATATTTTATTTTCAGCAATTTAATTTCACTGCTAGATTTATAAATCAAAAGAAAATTTTACTAGAAAAAAAAACACTTTTTTCTAGTAATATTTGCTTTAAATCGACAAATGTTATTTTGCTAAATGAAAATGTGGGTAAAATATTTTGCGATCTGATATTTTGGGAAAGGTTTTTGCCCAAACATTAGTAATCCCATAGTCTATAGATGCTTGCGATACATAGATACCAGAGTGCTACTTGTGGAGCTCTTAGAAACTTTACTCGCCAATAGAAACACAACGCATCCAAAAAGTGTTTATTTACATCGTGATTTTCTCCAAAGTCGAGGTTTTTTCCCGACAAGGTATAAAAGTATAAGCTGCCATGGTATCATCTTAGTGCTCTTTGTACCCACATCCAGTGCCCAATCGTCTATTTATTCAAATCGCTCAACTAAGTTTATCAATCAATAGGCTATGCCTATACCGAGATTATGACTTTATTACCAACAGAAATGCTAATAAGATAAAAACCGGTACTACCTACAAATTGGTCATTCCGGCGACACTTAAACGCACTTCGGGTAAAAAATATTTTTTACAAAACGTAATTTATCACAAGTTTTGTCAGTTGACGTCTTAAGACAATATTTATGTAATGTATTTCCATTTTTTTTTGAGGATATTCTACTGGAATTAGAGAGCACCCGTCTGGGCCAAATCTTCACATTTAAGAAGACTACAATAAATATGACTAGTTTTTGATGGCGTTAATACCTTCAAAATCATACTTAAAGGTAGTGATACCTATGAGGAGATGAGAGTTTGAACTTTAATCATAATTTATATATAGTATGATTAAATTGCATGCAACAGCTAGCTAGAAATAATTGTGTAAAAGTGTCCTTTCTTTGATTATGTTAATCAACGGGTCTTCATAGTCAAAGGAAAGTTGGAGATGAGCGAGTACTCGAACATAATGACTGTGATGGCCTGGATGACCCGCGGAAATCCATTCGACCCAACACTCTGTCTTTATGAGTCGGACTAATGATCTATTCAAAGTTACAAATCCAGCGGATGAGCAGAGGAGGTCTTATTGTTTTGCCTAAACCCAATTGTGATGCCTAGGTAATTGTTTTATTCCAACTGGGATGTGCCTGCCTGATTAAGCGTTAACTTAATTTACATAATTTTCACATTTATAGTATTCGTGGTCGAATATTGGCCTTAATTTAAATTGTTACTACATAGTAGTATATTCAATAATAAATTAAAACTAGTCGAGGACTTTGATTTTACCTACTGATCGTCTAAAAAAGAATATAATTTATAAAGTTAACCATACATACAAAAGTTCACACCACACTACCCCTCACAGGGTTTGGCTGGTTGATACAGGTTCTCTCTACATAAAAGTTTCAGTCCGGATTGAGTAAAGCGAAGAAGCGATACGCGCAGTACTTACTAGTTTTCTGCATCTTATGTATTGCCAAATTATCTGATCAGTTGGTCTAACACAAATTTTATTAAATAGTTAATACTTCCACTCACACCAATACTTTAATTAATAAAACTATTTGAAGTCTTGCCACCAAGGAGCCTGTAAAAGATCCAGCACTTTAAGAATAATGAAAAAAGTTGATAAACCGTGCGCATTTATACCCTTTCAAAAAGTGTTTTATTGAATGATAAGTATAGAACAACTTCTGCTACTGTTACATGAAAAATGATCGCAAGATAAAGAACACTTGTTGTAGCTATTCGACAGCGATAAACATCCATCAGATTCGATACATTACTTAATAATCGTTTTGCTTTTATTTATCCGATCAAAATAACAATTCTTTTTTACACTTCGGTACGCACCGCACTGCCTCAGTGAGATTTGATAAAACAGTTAAAAGGGTTGTAATGTAAAATGCGCATATTTTATTATTACGTGGTAATTGAGTTTCGGTTCGGGACCTTTCCAGATTTCGCGCTCCCTATCACAAAAACTTAAAAGAGTAGGAAGACGTAAGCCGATTAGAAATGTTTTATAGGCTGATTTACTCCGCCGAATACACTGATCGCTTTTTCCTATAGCAATATATTGAGCAAAAACCAGCGATGTTTATAAAAATACTGCGCCGTTACCATTTTGTTGGGTCGAACTGTTGGTTAGTGAAGTACCTAAATACTGTTTAGCAAATCGTTCATCGATGTGTTTAGAAGTTCCGAGACGATTGTTTTGATCGACCGCGTCATATCCTGTCAACGAAGCGTACTTTGTCGAAACGGCGAATGAAAGTTCATCCATCAGTAGCAGTTTTATAAAGAAGCGAATTTCGGTTACCGATTTCATAATACATACCATATTTCAAACAGAATAATATATATCATAAATCCGAGGGAAGTGGGCCAAACATCAAAGATTAAGTGCTTGCCATAAGATAGATGCTAAGTAATTAAGTATAATTTACAGTCTAATCACGCACCTCAACGACACCAGATTTGGCATTGGTCGAACCTTAATTAGGGATACGATTCTATTGAATAGATAGATATGTATTTCACATTCGAAATGTTCAAACACATAATTTCTTAGTAGTAGTTTTAAAGTAAAGGTTAAATTTTTATTATTGATTAAAACTAGAAACGTCTTTGGAATCTATGGGACTCACTTTTGCAGGATATCGACTGAAAAATTGATCCCCGAGAGAACAGTAACCAACTTTGTAATAATTTTAAGGGAAATCGTAACTTAAAAGTGAAAAATTATTTAAATAAGGCCCCTATAAATAAATAAGGTATCGATATAGTAGTGTTTTAATGGTATTTCAGTAGTTTGAATTTTTGACACAGTTATTGTTAGTAAACACACAAAATTTAATCACAAATATATAAGCTTACTCATGATATTGCCGTCTATGTGCAATTGTGCATTCGTTATTTTATGTGTTAGTAA